GTAATGGAAGGATATCGAAAATCATAAGTCTCTGAGGCTGGTGCGGTGGCCTCATGCCTTAATCGCCAGCTCTCTGGTGAGCCGCCAGGGATTTGGGACAGCTTGAGTAACATAATGTAGACCCATGTCTACAAAAAAAGAAAAATTAGCTGGGCTATCAGTGGCATTATGCTGTGGTCGTCCCAGCTACTGGAGAGGCTAAGGCAAAGGAGATCACCTGAGCTCAGCAAGTTCGTGTTACAGTCGGACTAAATAGATGGTGCCGCCTGGGCAACATATGTAAGCCTGTCCTCAAAGAAAAAAAAAAAGAAAAAAGGTCTCCGTGACTCAGCCTTGTTCAACATCTCGAACTTAATTTTTTACATCTTTCTAGAGAAAGCAGTGGAATGCGTCTACGTTAGATAAAGGTTATTTTCATAACTATCATCAACCTATTTATGCATTTTCTATATCTTAAATTTTAATTTCAAATTGGTAAAATATACATATAACAAACATTTGTCATTTTATACCAGTTTTACTATTCAGTGGCCTGGAAGTATATTCACACTGTGCATCATCATGCGCCATCCATCGCTCAGTTTTCTTGACAGAGTTCTCGCTTTGCCCAGGCAGAGATTTAGTCCTGTGGTATCAGCCCTACGCTCACAGCAACCCTCAAACTCCTGTGGCTCAAGCGATCTTCTGCTCAGCCTCCTGAGTAGCTGGGACTACAGGCATGCGCCCACCATGCCCAGCTAAATTTTTCTATATATATTTAGTCTGGCCACTTAATTTCTTTCTATTTATAGTAGAGATGGGTGTCTTGCTCTTCTTGCTCAGGCTGGTTTCGAACTCCTGACCTTGAGCGGTCTGCCCGCCACGGCCTCCCTGATTGCTAGGATTACAGGCGTGAGCCATCACGCCCAGCCTCCAGTATTTTTTTATCTTGTAAAACTGTACCCATAAAACAATAACTCCCCATTATTCTCTTCCTCCAGACCCTAGAAACCAGCATTCTATTTTTTTCTTCATCTATGAATTTGACTACTCGCATAAGTAGAACCAGAGAATGATTAGTCTTTTTTGTGACTGGTTTACTTCACTCAGTATAATCTCTTCGAGGTTCATCTGTGTTTTAGCATGTGTCAGAATTTCCTTCCTTGTTAAGACCCAGTAATCCATTGTGTGTATATACCACATTCTGTTTACCTGTTTAACTGCTGGACGTTTGGGTTGCTTCCACCTGTCAGCTGCTATGAGTAGTGCTGCTATGAGCATGGGTGTACAAATATGTGTTCATAGCTTGGTTTTTTCCACTCAATATTTTTAAGGATCTTTTCCTATCATTATTTTAGCCTTTTATTTTCTCTAGATACTATAATATCATCAGATTTATTGGGATCAGATTTATTTATTTATGGCATCATTAAAAGCGTAGATGGCAAAATAGCAGGTTAGGGGAAGTTGATTTTTCTTTTATTTATTTTTATTTTTTTAAAGAAGGCAGAGATGACTACAGGTACTTCTTGTTGGAAAACAGAATTTTGGAAGAAGAATACAGTTGGTTTAAGGTTAAAGACAGGATATTATAAAGAAGGCACCCAGTGTAAATGATAGCTAATTAAAACATTTTTATGTCTAGAAAATGCTGGAGTGGGTAGAGCAATGAGCAAATGTAGGTGGAGCAAACTGGAAGTCAGGATTTTAAGTAAATGGCTGTGTTGTAGTAGTTAGTAACAGTAGCAATCTTGGGTGCTAGAGTAAATGTTAACTACCATGCAAATGAATAGCAATGCATGAGTTTTTCCTACTTCCCAAAAAGGATTTGATCTGGTTTACATTATAAAAGCTGTGTGTTAGAGGACAATAGAAACAAGATGAGAAGGTCGCAATCGTTTAGAACTGGGGAAATGATTCCTTCAAGACAAAAAACAGTGTTATCAGCACACACACCCATTTTTTCCAACTTAAAATTATAAATTGGAGAATCCCACTGGTACTGCAAATGGGGCCAATAACACTTATATTGTTGCCGTAAATTCTTCTGTGTATTTTGTTATTTTGAGTACCTGTGATAATTAACTTGACAAAGTCTTTAATTATAAGAATAATACACTCATGTTAAATTTGAAATAGTGTGGAACGATGTAGTATGAAAAATAAGTCTCTGGGCTGGGTGCGGTGGCTCATGCCTATAATCGCAGCTCTCTGGGAGGCCAGGAGTTTGGGACCAGCTTGAGTAACATAATGAGACCCCATGTCTACAAAAAATAGAAAAATTAGCTGGCTATAGTGGCATATGCTGTGGTAGTCCCAGCTACTGGGGAGGCTGAGGCAAGGAAGATCACCTGAGCTCAGAAGTTCGTGGTTACAGTGAGCTATGATGGTGCCAGCCTGGGCAACATAGTAAGACCTTGTCTCAAAGAAAAAAAAAAAGAAAAAAGGTCTCCTGACTCAACCTCTGTTCTCAACATCTCGAACTTAATTTTTTACATCTTTCTAGAAAGCATAATGCATCTACGTAGATAAAGGTTTATTTTCATAACTATCATCAACCTATTTTATGCAATTTTCTATATCTTAAAATTTTAATTTCAAATTGTAAAATATACATAACAAAATTTGTCATTTTAACCATTTTACTATTCAGTGGCTGAAGTATATTCACACTGTGCAATCATCATCGCCATCCATCTCCAGTTTTTTTTGAGACAGAGTCTCGCGTTGTTGCCCAGGCTAGAGAAAAAAACACCGTAAGCTCACGCAACAATCAACTTCTGGGCTCAAGGATCTTCCAACAGCTCTAGAGACAATAGACTACACATGACGCCAGCTAATTTTTTCTATATATATTAGTGGCCACTTATTTTTTCTATTTATAGTAAGCATGGTTCTTTGCATTCTTGCTCAGCTGGTTTCGAACTCCTGACCTTGAAGCGGTCTGACCCCCACGGCTCCTGATTGCTAGGATTAAGGCGTGGCCATCACGCCAGCTCCATATTTTTTTATCTTGTAAAACTGTACCCAAAAAAATACACCCCATTATTTCTTCCTCCAGACGCTAGAAACCAGCATTTATTATTTTTTCTTCATCTATGAAATTGACGTACTCGCATAGTAAACAGAGAATGTTAGTCTTTTTGGCGGTTTTATTACCTCAGTATAATCTCTTCGAGGTTCATTGTGTTTTAGCATGTTCAGATTTCCTTCCTTGTTAAGACCGCAGTAATCATTGTGTTATATACAATTCTGTTTCCTGTTTACTGCTGACAGTTTGGTTCTTCCACCTGTTCAGCTGCTATGAGTGTGCCTGCTATGAGCATGGGTGGTACAAATGTGTTCATGACTTGGTTTATTTCACTCAATATTTTTAAGGATCTTTTCCTATCATTATTTTAAGCCTTTTATTTTCTCTAGATACTGATATATCATCAGATTTGATGGGATCAGATTTATTTATTCTATGGCATCATTTGTCTTAGCTAACATTAGAGAAATTGTTTTATATAATATATAGAAATCAGATTTATGCAATTTCCTCAGTGATACAGGAATATACAGAAATCAGATTTATGCAATACTTTAAAAAATTAAAAGTATTTAATTTTATCTTCTAATTGAAACTACTAAATTATGTTTAGAATGTGGCCAATTGATAAGCTTTTGAATAGCTGACTGGTCGTGTAGAAATTGAAAATCAAGAAAACTTATGGAAATAGAAGTGTAAGTACCCTTTTTTTGGTAGTGGTTCTAGTGGCTTAATGTTAAAAAGCCTTTTTATTGACTGAACTGGAGAGACAAATTAATAATTTTATGATAACATTGGTTGTGTGTTTCTTGTCATCTTAAGGTCTCCTTAAGTTTATATTTTCAGTGCTGCTGGCTTCATGATACTACAAATTTTATCTTTTTAAAATCTTCATTTTTTTAACGGGGATATAATTTGCATACAGTAAAACTCACCCTTTTAAAGGGTGTACAGTTCAGTGGTTTTAGTATATTTAGAATTGTGCAACCATCACCACAATCAATTGTAGAATATTTTCTCTAGTCACAAAGAAACCCACCACCTTAGCCATTCCTCCACATACTCTGTCCCCCCAGCCCTTGGCAACAATTCTACTTTGCGTGGATTTGCCTATTCCGGACGTTGATATGAATGGGATCATGCATTTTGTAGCCTTTGTGGCTGCTTTCACTTAACATAATGTTCTCAAGGTTTGTCCATGCTGTAGCATGTGTCAGTCCTTCATTCCTTTTTATGGTTAACTCATATTTCACTGTATGGCAGACCATGTTTTGTTTAGCCACTCATAAGGTTGTTGTTTCCACTTTTTGGGTATTATGAATGATACTGCTGTGGATGCTTGTTTGTTAGATTTTATGTGCATATGTTTTTAGTTTTCTTGCACATATAACTAGGAGTACATAAACTTTTATTCTTAAATTACTTTTTTTCATCCATTACCATTTTATTCTTCACATAACTTTTTTTTCTTTTCAAACAAAGATCTTTATTATTCATGTTGTTCCTAATCTTTTCGTGTAAAACAATCTTTTAAGGGTCAGTTTCTCAAAGTCCATGTTTGTAAGTTTAATTTTTAATATCTGTTAATTTGTAAAATGTACAAGAGAAAGCTATCATAAAATGAGTGTGTATATGTATGAGATACATATAACCTTATGAACAAAATTTAGATAGAAAATGCCTATTTTGTTTTACATGATATATCTGTCATTGCTGTTTTAGTTATCTTCATCTCTTTCCAAACTGTAAACTTTATGAAGTTAGGGACTGTTGTCTTTCTTGTTAATCTTAGATTTCTGGCACCCTAGTGCCTTGCAACTAATGGGTATTCCAAAATGGTTGTTGAATGAATATTAATGTATCGGATGCTTTTTGGATTTTCTCTATTTTCTTAGGGTAAGAAATGCTTTTTTCCTCCCTAAATATTAATGTTGGACAATAAAATCCAGCTCTACTTTCAGAATCACTTCTCTAATAGCCATGGTTATGTTTTCCTCAGTGATACACAGCAGATACTGTCTTAGGCGAGTCCTAGAATCATAGTGCCTCAGTCATTTTCTTTCTACCTGGAGCTGTTATTCCAGTAGAGGGATCCCTTCTAGACTGTCTCAGGATATAACAAAATATTAAATTTGTTAATTTCCATTAGTATATTTTCTGTATTTTAATGCCAATAATTTGCCACTTTTGCGACATCTATTTTTCATATAAAAGAATTTATTATATTTTATCTTTATTTTTTAGAATGACTTGAGAGAACGGTTCAGCGCAGCCAGCAGTGCCTCCAAAATTTTGCAGGAACGAATTGAGGAAATGAGAACAAGTAATAAAGAAAAAGACAATACCATCATTCGACTAAAATCTAGACTGCAGGATTTAGAAGAAGCATTTGAGAATGCTTACAAACTCTCAGATGATAAAGAAGCTAGGCTAAAACAAGAAAACAAAATGTTTCAAGATGTAAGTAACAAATAATTGTTACTTAACAACTTAACATCATGGTTGGCTAGAAGGAATATATTTACATAATGTACTCTTACAAGCTACTATGACTATTTCCAGGTTTTAGTTTCACATAACTTTGCAGTAGCTGCAAATACATACCCTCCTGATGGAGCTGGTTGGGTCTTTCTTGTAGCAAGAAGTCCACTCCCCTGCTGTTCTGTGTCCAGCAGGTCAACTTTGAAGCTATCTAAACATCTGTGGGCCTGGCATGGTAATATGCTATAAACCAGATTTAGAGCAGATTTGATTTTTTTCACTTTGATATAATTTTACTTAAAATTCAGATTTGTGTGACATTGAAATTGGATTAGGTTTCAGGTTACATATTTTTTCCTAAATTTTAATGTCCTTTTTGAGATTATTATGGTACATAAATAATCTGAAAGTATTTAGGCTGTTGAAAAATTCTCCCTAATAGCTTTAGATTTGCTGCTTGCTCCTTTGGTTTTTAAAATTTATTTTTATGAATGTAATACATGTAAATGGTTAATAGTCAAATCTCAGATGAAAAACAGCAGTCTTTCCCACCTCATCTTGTAGTCCCCTACCCCTAGAGGCTATTACTTTTGGCTCGGTTAGCTATTTCTTCTAACATTTTTCTCTGTGTTTCTAAATAATATACTAATATTGCTCTTTCATTTTTTCCCATCAATTTCAGACATATGTTGACTGCCTCCATGCAAGATCATGATTTGACTTTCTTATGCCATTTGTTCAAATACAAACACTTCTCTGCCCTCCTTCCAATGTGATTCATGTATTAAATTGATTCTAAGATACATATTCTCTTACATTTTAACACCTCTGAAATTAGAATGCGTCTTTACACCATAGTGTCATATTTTAATTAGGGTTTTTTTCTTTTAGTAGTACCTAAAATAATGGTGTGATTTATAGTCAGTGGTGTCTTGGATTTGAAATATACATCATCATTTAGAGTTAAATCAGTCTTTGGTGTCTCTTGTGTCTACTTAAATATTGTTCAAAGCTAAGCTGTGATATACAGTGATTACATTCCTTTTCCAACTTTTATTTTTCTTACAGTTAATAATTGCCTTGTTTTTTTTGATCTGCTTAGTTTTCCATCTGCCTAGCACCCTCCCCGCCTCCCATGTTGATGAAGGCTACAGGTCAGTGCCAGGCTGGCCATGCTTGTGCTTCCTTCTGAACTGATTGCTCCCTAGGTCTGATACACAGATATCCTAGGACTTGCTTTCACTATCATCCTGGGAATTAATTCTCTTTGCTTCTTTCCTGTATTGAATCTATTGTTCTGTGGATCCTGTGTTCATGTTTCTTGATTTAATTTCTTGTTTTGCTGGAGTATGTCTCCTGAGAAAAAGAATGCATGGGAAACAAATTTTGAGACCTTCCATATCTGAAAACTTTTATAGTTTGCAGTCACGCTTAAATGGTAATTTAGCTGGGTAGAAAATTTTAAGTGGGGAAATACTTTAAATTGTTGCTCTAATCAGTTTCAATCATTGCTTATGCCATCTACCTTTCAGTGATGCTGTTGGGAAGGACCATGCCATTGTGATTACCTGTTCTTTGTAACCTGTTAATTTTCCTCTTCCTCTGGAAGCTTTTAGGATCTTGCCTTTACCCCCCCCCTCTTTTTTTTTTTTGAGACAGAGCCTCACTCTGTTGCCCCAGCCTACAGTGCAGTAGTGTCATCACAGCTCATAGCAACCTCAAACTCGTGGGCTCAAGCAATCCTCCTGCCTAAGCCTCCCAAGTAGCTGGGACTACAGGCACACACTCCCAGAGTGCTAGGATTACAGGCAGGAGCCACTGTGCCCGGCCTCTATATCTCTCTATCTCTGCATTATGCAATTCTACAGTGAATGAATGTGCCTTGGTGCTTTATTATTTTGCTGGGTACCTGATGGACTGTTTACTCTGAACTTTTCTAGTTTTTTTTCTTTTCTCTTTGGAATCCCTTATAGAGCTTGGATCTCAGACTGATTCCCTAGTGTTTTGTTTTGTTTTTTTGTTTTTGTTTTTTTTTGAGGGCAGGGTTTCACTCTGTCATCCAGACAGGAGTGCAGTGGCACAATCATCATTTACCACAGCCTTGAACTCCTGGGCTCAAGAAGGAATCCTCCTGCCTCAGCTTTCTTGAGTCTCTGGGACTATAGGTACATCCCACCATGCCCTGCTAATTTAGTTTTTTTGTAGAGATAGGAGTGGAGACCAGCCCAGGTGATCTCAAACTCTTGGCATCAATGATCTCCCTCCTCAGCCTTCCAAAGTGTTGGGATTACAGGTGTGATTTGTTCTACTTTTTGGAAGAGCCTTCTTTAACTTTATCTTACAGCCTTTGTGTTTTAATTTTTTTTTTTTTGCTATCATTTTTTTACTTTTTTTTGTTCTTTTAAACTTCTATACTGTTCTTGTTTCATGGATGCAACATCCCTTATCAGAGCATGCCATCATATTTTTAAAAATTTACCTTTGTTTCCAGCATTGACTTCTGTTCCCACTTATTTCCTTTTTGATTTTCTTTTTAACTGTTAGAACTTTTTCTATATAGCAGTGATTGTTGGCTGTTAAGATTGAGGTGTAGAGAGCCGATTAGAAGATAGCTTTGTGCCCCTGGGCAGGGCTGACTAGAATATAAGCATTGCCAGTCTTCATTAGGTGTTGCTAAATTGCTCTTTGAAACGGTTGTAACAGTTTATTTTACTAACAGCAGCATATGAGAATTCTTATATTTCTAGATTATTTCCATTGCTTAATATTGCCAAACCTCTTTATTTTTGCCAGTGTGATCAACGTGAAATGGTTGTATGTATTGTGGTTATCTTCTTTTGGCCTGTGGCTTGCTTTTTACTTTGTGTCTCCTTTATATTGCCTTCTAAAATTATAAAACTTTGCTTCATACATTTAGGACCTTTTTTTAAAATTATTTTTGAAGAGCCTGGGTCTTGCTTTGTTGTTATTTATTTGATGTTACGGCTCTCTTTTGACTGTTTGTTTCGTTTCAATCCATTATTTCTTTTAGGTTAACCTTTCCTTAGGATTTGAAGTCTTTCATACTGAATGCTGTTTTTCAAATGTTGGCTCTTCTACAGGCTCACGTTTAAAAGTGAGGTGGTAAAAAGCTGTTGAAAGACTCTGGGTGCATGGCTGGGACCTGATAGCCTTCATTCACAGATCTTTACATAGTGACGCACCAGCCATTTTGTTGGGGGACCTTCAGATGTGAATATGTAGAGGTCTTTTTGCTGGAGGAGTTCAGTTTTCCCAAAGAATGGTTGCAGTCTCTTGCATGGGACCTACCAGCCAGGCTCTGGTGATTTGAAGACTTTTACTTAGTCATTTTCTCTTTATCTCTTTGTTTCCCCTCTGCCCTTATTCTTGGGTTTCACCTGTGTATTTTCACCTGACTGTCTCCTGAATAGTCCACAGCTGTATGGGGTAGGGAAGCATCCTGGGCTCTGACTACTTAAAGAATTTCAACCAGTTCCCTGTGGTCAGCCCTGTGTCCAATGCTGTCCACTTCTGACCTGAGTTTCAAGTTGTGAGCTCCTCAGGGTTGTGAAGGGATCAGCCTACTTCTGTCAGCATTCCCTTATTTGGGCACTTGCGGTTGTAACTCCTGTCCCTTGCTCAGGCACTTTGTCTCTTTTCAACCTTCTAAAACTTCATTGGAATCTCTCACCTCTTCTGTTTTCTCTTTGATTTCTTCATTGTTAATTTAGGAGAATCTCAGGAGGAAGAGGAGAAAATTCAATGATGAATCTGTTGTCTTTAACACAGAAGTCTCACATATGTATTTTAAAATAAATCACCTAATTATATTACTTTTGGCATTGTACCTTTACTCTGTAGAACTAACTTAGCAAGAAGTATTATGCAGTAATTCATAATAGATCAATGCAAATACATTTTAGTCTTAAAATACTTAAAGGGCATTGATAGTAAATTACTTTGTTTTACTTTTTATTTTGAAATAATTTCAAACTTACAGAAAACTTTAAAGAACAGTATCAGGAATTGTCCTATTCCCTTTATACAGACTTAACAATTCTGTGTTAACCTTTCTCTTTCATGACATTGGCACATTTGATAGGTATGGACAGTTATTTTGTAGACTGTCCCTCAGTTGATATAATACTGTTTAATTTTGTGGTGTAATTCTTTGTTTTTCCTTGTAGCTTTTAGGAGAGTATGAGTCCCTTGGAAAAGAACATGGAAGAGTAAAGGTAATGAATGATTGTTCATGTTCTAGATTTCATGTAGGGGCAAAGACATTGGAGTGGGAATCAAGAGACCTTACCCTTCCTCCTCCTCCATTCTCCACCCCCTGTGGCCATTTGAACTAGACTTCTTGTCCTTTCTGTTTCAGTGTGCTTATTTTCAAATATCTGCCACCTTTAATGCATGTGTATGTTAGATTTGTTACTCTAACAAACATATATTGAATAGCTATTACATTTGAGATGAGATTGTTTAGAAGAGTATAAGGTACCAGATAGATGCAAATAATTAATACTGTTTAAATATAAAGTTTTGATTTTTAAAGCATTAGCTTTTTTTGGGATTGTTTAAGTTTATTGATTATGTTTGAAGTCTTAAAGCTTTCTTTGGGGACTACATATTTGAGTTGAGTGAAACACCACAATAATGCTGTGAGTGGTACAAGTATTTTTATTGCATAAAATGCAGGGTTGTGGTTATTTAAGGCTGGTGAGAAGGCCTGCATAGCTAGGCAGCTGAAAGTTCTAAGGGGTCAGGAGCACATCACATCATTGAAAGTATTTGTTTTACCATTCTATCAAGCGTTTAGCCATGTTTGTGATTAAAATATGTTCATTTTAACACTGGCTTGTTTGTAGTTAAGCAGGCTACTTGTATAGTCCAGGCTTTTGCTCCTTTTTTTTTCCTCCTTGAATTATCTGTACTGGCTCTATGGTTGATGCCATACTTGCTGAATATAATTTGTAGCTAGCTGGTTTAGCCATAGATTTGTTTTATGTATTTTAAAATAAAAATATTCATCTGAATGTTTATCTTCTGTTATTTGAATTTTTCCTTTATTTCTATAGGATACATTAAATACAACTGAGAACAAATTGCTTGATGCACATACTCAGATTTCTGATTTGAAAAGGTAAAATGTATTGTCTAATGACCTCTTACTTTTTTATGTATATTGAAAGTGATAAAAAAAAAAGGAAGTTTTTCTTAAGGATTTTTAAGCAGTTTGAGAACTAGTTTTATCCTAATCTTCCCCTGACATGGAAGTACATTTGATTTTCGCCAAACAAAATTCCTTTTTTGTTGTTAAAAAGAGACAGGGTCTTCACTATTTTGCCCAGGCTGGCCATGAACTCCTGGCCTCAAGTGAACCTCCAGCCTCAGCCTCCCGAGTAGCTGGGACTACCAGTGGATACCACCGCACCTGGCTTCTAACAAGATATTTAAGTGATTAAAATATCTTGGTGGTTGTGCATCAGGGGTGTGCATTTCCCCAGACATTATGTATTTTATCAGCATAGGTAAAATCTAAATGGTAACCATCGGAAAGAACTTTAAGATGTAGTCTAGTTCACTGAAGTATTTTTGTGCTCCAAAAAGAAAGCAGCATTCACACCAAGACTGTGGTCATCCACTTTCATAAAGACCTGATTTGGAGATTATATTAGTGATATGATTTGCTTAATTTGAGTCATAAGTGGTCCCTATTGCAAATGATTAGAAAAATCTAAATTGGCTTTAAACATATTTTATATTCATGTTTGGATATAATACCCCTTATTTAGAAATTTTACTATAGCCTTAAGGACATCCCATAGAAAAGAGAAAAGCTGACTCTTTTCTATGATTCATTCAAGTCTAGTGATAACTTCCTTAGCACATTGGAATAAAACATCAGTCTTATTAGAGCTGTTTTTTCCCTCAAACCTTCCTTGCATCAGGGTAGGTAAGAATTTGAATTTGAAAGATAAGATGAATACATACACAAAGTATAAAAGAATAGAAAGCCAGGATATCTGTAAAACAATTACTTGACCAGAGTAGTTATCTGTTGGTAAACTTGAAAATGGGCTTTTATTCTGAAAATGGCACAAATTAGATGAAATACCTTCAGGTTGACAGTTGTTGGAGATATTTTAGCCTCTGACCCTTCTAAAAATTAGGAAGTTTCTTTATTAATAGCTGCTTTTGTAAGTTAAGACTGCCTTCTCTTTAGTGGAGGGGTTACCTGTTATACTTTGTATGCATGAATACATATATATTAGAATTAAACATGATAGAATGTGATTTGATACTTGAATTTTATTTTACGTATGTTTTATTTGTAGTCAGATTTATATAATTTTTTTACACATAAGTCCATTTGTTGTTACCTTTTCCTTCAGTTTCAGTGTATGGAATGCTCCTTTGTAGAGTTTCATGTATTTGCTTTTCTATTTTCCCTGATTTTGTTCAACTTTTTAAAGTGTAATGGTTGTGTTTTATTATGGAAAAGGTTTATCAATTGATAACTCTTTGTCACCCCTTTTCTAGGAGGGTCTGTTAAATAATTTGTAATTGAGCTGCATTTTAAATTTGTTGAAATGTACTTAATTTATCATATTGCTTTTGAATCAGAATGATTTCAAAACTTGAAGCTCAGGTCAAACAAGTGGAGCATGAAAATATGTTAAGCTTTCGTCATAATTCTAAAACTCACGTGAGACCCTCTCGTTGGACGAATAAGTATTCCCCATTTCACCCTCAGAACTGCTAGAAATAGATGCACACTTCTATTAGCTATATAGAGCTCCACTCTGTCTAACCTCATAAACAACGAAAGTCGTGGCTTAAAGTCATTGGGAGACCTTAATGTTACCAGAAAAACAATTTAATTACTGGATGCTAAACACACTAGCAAGGCATTTGCCAAAAGAAGAAATATGAGATCAAATTGAGTAAGACAAACTGGGAATTATCTCTTGTTTTGGACGACCTGCAGATTTGACCCTTCGAATGTCATTTTACTACTTTCTAAACCTTTTTATATCCCGTCACAACAACACGGACACTGGCTACAATATCCTCAAAAGGTTTAGCTGAATTTTCCCCCACATATTATTCCCATAGTAATGTAAACTGGTGTAAATGGTCTACTGTTGTTGCCTTTTCTTTTATGGTTATTTATGTCTTGGTCAAATTATGATTTGCTTAAATCTCAGTAGCATTATCTTGAGCACCTTTTTACAAATAGAATTTCTCATATTCTGAATAGAACGTGGGTTGTTTTAGATTATGATTTTTGTCACTTCAAATCCACCGATACTTCGAAATCACATTATACATGTTGGCATGATCACCAACAATGAATTCTACTTTTTAAACCTTCAAGTTAACCTTCCACACTGCAAGGACCCAACCTGTGCTTCAGAGTTCCTGGCAGTAAATGGGGGGGATTGCTGGAGGATGGGGTTGGATGTTCCGCAAGAGGACTAGCACAGTCCGCCATTCGCAGGTCCTGAGGTGGGGGAGAGTGGAGGCTTGGCAGTGTGTGACAGGAGCTAAGGGACTGGTTGCGCCTGATACCTTCAAAACATGGAAGAGTCAAGGCCCCCTACGGGGGGTGAAAGCACCCATGCTTGCATCATACATACGCATTTCTAAGCCTATGGGTCAAAGTCTGGATTCTGTACCGTATTGAAGGGTCCCACGGACACTTGCGAACTTCTTACCTTACTAATATAGATGCGTGCTGGATTTACTTTTCTTCTGACCGTGCCATGAGGAAGGAGTGGAAAGGGAACCTAGTTGGCTATTGCAAGGTTAGAACAAGGTGGTATCAGCATGCTGCCACAGAAAATGAGCAACCGGGAAGGATGAGAGAGAGCTCTGAAAGGTAGAACCAAAAGAGCATGGTGTGCAAAGGGGTGGACAGGGTAACAGTGAAGGGGGATTCGGAAAAATCCATACTTTTCGTTTTGGACAACTAAAGGTACCATGGGTAATTGAACTAAGAGGAGCCAATATCCATCTTGAATATAATTTAGCACGATTCACCGTACGATTCCAACTGACCCAATCATAGGCAATAAATTTAGGTTTGGGCTTAGCAATCAAATTTTAGTTGAGTTATAAATTCTTAAGCTTGGTACCTACTTAAGGCGTGACCTTAGAGCTACAGGATGATGGGATCGAGCCGTGCTTAGCCGTAAGTGCCAGACATATGAACTCCTACGTTTGCTGTGGGTATACTGGAGTTGGCAAAGGAACCTAAGAAAGACCTACTAAAACCAGGAGGAAACTGAAGCAGCACATTTGATTGCTGTCAGGTTTAGGGGGTGGGAAAATCAACGTGTTTTTCCTCTGGGCTCTCCTACCAACACTAGTGACATCAGTGCAGAAGAATTCGGGCCCAAAATTGGGGATTTCTCCATCAGAAGGGCAACCTGCATCGTGTAACCTTCCCCTTACTCCGTCAGCTGTCAGAGTGGGAGCACTTGGGGTAGCAGCAGCCTTGGGGGTTCTCAGAGCCCCAACGTTGCTGATCTTACTGATCTCTGAATACTTCAGCGAGAACAGAACAAAACATTTGGTTAACTCTTAAAACCATAATCTGAATTTGCTGTATCTAAAATAATTATTGTTTGTGTTTTTATCTGTGCCAATATGTCATTGCCTGTTGACAAGTGTTTTATATCACCGCTGTCTGAGCTCGCGGACCCCTGCAGATCCCCTGGCGTTCTCTTTTCAACAGCACCTGCAACTTCTGACTCAAGCAGGTCCAAGTGCGTGATTTCGCAGCCAGAGTATTCCATCTTCACTGGCCAGCCCCTGGACATCCAGGGCAGTAGCGTAGATCACCAGCTGGAGGAAACCTGTGTCCCTGGGTGAGGTGACTTTGCCAGAGATTTTATATAGGAATGTTATATTTTCTTAAAGATTTCAATTGCCTTTAAATATTTAAGAAGCCATCTCTTTGGTTCTTTAATGTCTTCATTTTGAGAACCTGATTTTTATTTTACTTTGAAAGGGTAGTACTTTTAGGATATTTCACTTTTGCTCTGCAGAGCTCCCTAACTCTGCTCTTTGGCACAGTCCAGGCTTGCAGTGAGGACGAGGTGCTGATCCTCTCACCCTTTGGATAGCCCAGGCCCGTGAGCAACCTCAGCCATCACTCTAGGGTGCCATGAAAATACATTATTTTTGTATGTGCTAGGATGTTAAAAGAATTAGAAAGCACTGTATGCAGGTTCAATTTTAATTTATTTGTATTGTAAAGCACACATATTCATTGTGGAGTATAGTTGTCAATTCTCCTGTTATTCCCCTAACAATCCCAATAAACCGTGTGTCTTAGCTTAGGCTGCTTGACAAATCACCATAGACTGTGTGGCTTAAACTAATGTTTATTTATCCCATTCTGAAGGCTAGAAGTGCAAGATCAGCGTGCCGACATTGGCTGAGTTCTTGGTGAGGGCCCTCTTGTTATGTCCTCACATGGCCTTTCTTTGGTGTGTGAGCAGAGAGAGCTCTTGCGTCTCTTCTTTCTGCAAGGGCATTAATCCCATCGTGGAGGTTTCACCTCATGGCCTCATGTGACCCTAATTACCTCCAAAAGGCCCTGCCTCTGAAGACCATCACATTAAAGATTAGGGCTTCAGCATGTGTGTTTGGGGGACACACAACTTGCAGTCCGCAGCACTGTATGTCTTACGATTATTATTTAAGGTACCATTCCCCTCCAGAAAAGGATTCTTCACCTGAAAGTTCACCAACAAGCTTATTGATGAAAAACCAAAGAGAGACTTCAGACTACGTCTGAAGCTTTAGACTTGATGGAAATATTTAACAATGGGGACACAACAGGAATTGAGGTTACTATGTGCAGTATTTATTTCCTTATTTTATTCCCCCCCATTTCTTATTTTTAGAGTATCTTCCCCTCTCGTTTTATTCCTTCTTTGAATATTTCTCAGGTAATGAATTAAGTTAATTTTATTTGACCGCTATTGCTTCGCTCATAGATAATCAAATCCTGTTATGTTATCCGTTCTGCAACCGAGTTCTACTAGCTAATTCATCTAATTTGTCATAAAGCTTACCTGGATTCTTTAGGATTTTGAAAATTCTCTGCAGTTTGTCTTGCCACACATCTATGTTGTGACAGTATGTTTGGTATTCATGAGGTGACGATTAACATTTCTTATTTTCCCTTTGTTGTTACTGAGATCTTAGATAAGAAATTTCTTATTCTGTGTTTTCCAGATCTAGATCAATAGATATTTTCTCTCCTGTTTTACTGTTTACTGTGCTTACTTGTTCAAACCATTAGTCATGCATTGACATTCTTTGGTGTTGCTTTCTAGTAAATAAAATTAGTAACCTGCTTTCTAAAATAACTCTTGAAAAATCACCTTGAATGCAGTGATAAACAGGGACAAACAAATTCATAGAAACTCCCATGTTTTCACATCAAGCACTTTTTTATAATGTGGTACATTGCAGAAGTCATGTACAGATGGTGACAAGAGATTGCTTTGAAGTACCAAGCTGGAGGCTTGTGTGGTTCACCCTTGATTGATTGATTGAGACAGGTCTCACTTTGTTGCCAGGCTAGAGTGCTTGTGGCATCAGCTATCTCACAGGCAACTCATTCCTGGGTCAAGCGTCTCCTGCCTCAGCCTCCAAGTAGCTGGGAGACTACAGGGTCTGTGCACCATGCTCAGTTAATTTTTCTATATATTTTTATTGGCCAATTAATTCTTTCTATTTTAGTGGAACGGCGTCTTGCTCTTGCTCAGGCTCGGTTTTTGAACTCCTGACCTTGACAATCCTCCCCTTGGACCTCTCAGAGTGCTAGGATTTACAGGTGTGAGTCCACCTCGCCCAAGCCGTAAAAATTTTAGTTCCTCAGTTCTAGTACTAGTTTAAGTGCTCAATTAGCCACAAAGAGGTAGTGGTTCAGTGCACATAACATTTAGATCTACTAAACAATGCTGATTCGAATATAATTTTCACTCCCATTTCTAGAAGTTTATTATTTCTAATCACTTTATGGGAATCAGCTAAAAACTTCAAATCTTAGAAAATGGATAACTTGGAGTGACAAAAAGCTGAATCTATTCTATTAATAAGCCAGGTAAGTGACAGCTCTAGGCTTTGTTGTCAAATTTTTCGCCTTTTCTGGTACACGAATTAGTGAACTCCCTCCCGGGCAACGAACACTTCAGTCAATGCAAGTCGTTCCCCAGAAAAATGTGCCCAACAGAGACAAAAGAGACTTAATTCTGCTTCACAGAGATCATCCTCTTTACCACCTTCAAATCGTAAATCAAGCACTCCAAGTAAGAGTTAGATGGTATACCTCTTGGGCTCAAGAGAGTGACATCCGAGCTGTGCACACTGTTTGTTTCCTGTTTCTCGTACTTTTCTTAGCACCTACTAGAGTACTCTGAACACAGGATCCCTAAATATGATCTTATGCGATAAGTAAAATTGCCTGATATTACGAATATAACTGAAAAAAAGTTTATTAAAGTGAAATTTTTTTATTGTGTCCAATAAATTGTTTGCAACTGATGTTCAAAGTTTTTGAGATAGTAGACTGCTGTCTAAGTGAACGTTAATTCAAAATAGTCTGAAAGGAGAAGGCGCTTCTGATGTATTTAACCTCAAGAACTCAGCATTAATCACCTTCCCCCCCCCCCTTGAATAATATATATATAAACAGGATAGTCACTTTTTTCCTTTAGCCAATTACAGTTTTGGTTCTAAAGTTTAAGCATTGAATTTCTGTGTCCTGAATTTCCATTTTTTGCACCAGCGAGGAGATTCTGACACTGTGTTATAGGTATGTTCACTACTGCACTGGTGTTTCCATCTTATTTCCAGTCGACTTCTAAAATCCTGAAAAACCAGTTTTGAGTCAGAGTGTTGAAACTACAGTCTGATATACTGAAATGTTAACAGTAGTTACCTTTAGATGTTAGGATTATGAATTATTTTTTATTTTATACATGCATCTCTCAAAGTTTTACAATAAAATTATATTTATTCTTTTCAAAATTAGAAAAAAGTACTCTACTGAAAAAGAAACTATTTCTGCCAGTATAACAATAGAAGAAAAAGAATATTTCCTCTTTGTTTTCCTCTATAGCAAAGAGAGAGATTATGTTAACACCAGTGACTGTGGCTTATAGTCCAAAGCGATCCCCTAAAGAAAATTTCTGTGTTCTTCCAGCGGTCATGGTATTTCTATCTATCTTTATTGCATTCAAATTTGTAATATCAGTTCCTAATTATGTGTAATCTGTTTTCTTTTTAAAACATTTGTATGATTTATTAATTCATATTATTATTTTATAATATGTTGACCTTATTGCTTGCTTACGTGTCTCTACTCACCTTTAATTTGTTTTTTCAATTTTGTTCCATGGACTGACTCTGTGGATTTATATTGTCAATTACAGATGGGATTCACACATTTGTATATTTCTATACTATTCTATTTATATATTAATTTATGTGTGCTACAATTTGCATCGTGATAAACAGTTTTTAATGATTGTAACTACTCTGCTACTACTTACATGTTTTAAAAGACCACCCTTCAGTGACCTCTTATCCAGTCTTTGTATTGTTATAATTATTAGTTCTTTGTTTTCTTCTGGAAATGTTTGTGATGTCAGGGAATACTTTTGAGTCCATCTTTGTATTGTTCATTAATCATTAGATGATGGCATGGTCTGTGTACTGGTTCTGGCTCTGTGCAGCTTGGGAACTTTCCATGTTTGCTTCACCTGCTTCTTGATGGAAATTTTGTCTCTCTTCTTAATTCTGTGTGTGTTCATTGTAACAACGTATTGTGTTGTCTGGCGTCTGCGGGGAAATATGTTGCTTCCTCGGTTCTGAACAACCCTCCACCAGGCTCTAAGAGAGCATCACCTTAAGCACATCGAACCTCCAGTTTACTCCTTCTGTAAACGGGGATAATAATACCTGCCCTGCTTATTCTATAAGGTGGTAATAAAGATCAAATGAGATAATGTATGGGTAAGTGCTTTAAGTCTTTAGTATGTAAATACAATTTTGTATTAGATAATAGAAATGAAATTTCAGTTCTAGAAAATTATGTAACCAACTTTCCTTAAAATATGTAAATATATGAGTTAACTGGATGCCAGCTCATTTTTCTAGTGGAGATAGGGAAAAATCAGTTAACATTTTTTTTTTCTCACAAGTAACTTGCTTCATTCAATAGATTTGATATACTTTTGGATGATTTAGATACTGTTCCTGTGTCGACATTACAACGTACCAATCCAAGAAAACAACTCCAGTTTCTTCCTCTAGATGACCCGGAAGGTATCTTTTCCAAAAAATTATTAGTTACGGTTTTAGTCATTTTTTGAGATTCTGGTATCTCTGAAGGTTCTAAATATTATCTTACAATATCCTGTACTTAAAATATTTTTCTATTTAAGGGCCTCTAAAAATAAGCATTCACGATGCTTCATATTGTTATGTCAATGTTGTTATGCTCATTGAAAAGTTTGGAAACTGAGTTACGGGGAATGTTAATGTTTAATTACCAGAGCCATACTATATGTTCAGTTATTCTTTACTTTTATACTCAATAATTTATGTGCAGCTTAGGCTTTGGGTAATTTTTTTTCTCATTTATATTTTAAGTTTGGAATAAAGTTATAAGACAATGTACATGAAATTACTTGGATAGGCCCTTAAAACTATTTAGTGTTGGTATATGTCCACTTAATGTTATATGTTGTTTAGTTTTTAAACTTTTTTTAAGTTTACTTAAAGTTCATTTATGTTCACATAAAGTTTGCTTAAGTTCATTTAAGGAAGTTGTGAGGATTGTCAAACTGAGGGAAAAGATTTTAGAATTTTTTGGAGAAAAAGCACCGAATGAACATGCTTGATTATTGCATCTCTTTTCATTACTTGTTTGGGCTATATAGCAGCCACTTCCAGGAAGTGAAGTTGGGCAGCATATTTAATATGTATGCAATCTATTGGAAAAATTGATAAGAAATATAAGAAGTTTCTTTCCTTTCTGACAGAAAAAAAATATTCAGAAAAAGCTACCGACAACCATGTTAATCATAGCTCTTGCCCCGAACCGTTGCCAAATGAAATGAAGAAAGTATCTGTGAGACCAGCCTGGGAGAAGAATAAATCAGTTAGCTATGAACAGTGTAAGCCTGTTTCAGTAACACCACAGGGTAATGATTTTGAATATACAGCAAAAATTAGGACCTTAGCTGAAACGGAACGATTTTTTGATGAACTTACAAAAGAAAAGGACCAGGTAAAAACAAAAATATAAAAAACCCCTTTTTTCCTGAACTTAAAGTTTATGTCTAAGGGCTAGTCAGAAGGGAATTATTGAGTCAGAACTTCCTCAGGAAATCCATGATGGGGTACCGTACCAAAGCTGCCCTAGAAACGTATCTGAGCCATGCAGTCGTTACTATTTGACAGAGGGAAATTATGTTAAGAGAAAATGGACAAGAAAATACTAGGCTGATATCTTTTCTTTCCATTCTGTGTGATAAACCTCCCTGCCAATAAGTTGAATTCTTCTAATTTCATTTAAACGTTTTTTTTGTGTGTTAACAGATTGAGGCAGCTCTAAGCCGGATGCCTTCTCCTGGAGGACGAATCACTTTACAGACAAGATTAAATCAGGTGCATCGTCTTAGCTTAACTCCGCTTCAAGGCTTGATGCCAGTCAGTGCTCCTTTTATCTAAGAGGAGTTTTTAAACTCATGGCACAATGAGAATTAAACACATTGAAGCAGCAGTCAAAATGTTTAGCCTGTATAGGAAGTTTTTGGTGATTATAGCAATTTTAAAACTACAAGCTAGCTTTCAGGAATAAAAACTAGTTTTACCTTTAGACTTAAAGAAAAAGGCATTCATGCCATTATATTTTCAGGAAACTAACTTGGGAGCAAATGTCAATATGCTTTTTGACAGATTTTACATTAAGTTAATGCTCCTACATTATGTCTCTCTTTTTGTGTGATTCCTCCCCCAAAATCTAATTTATTTCTGAACCCCTTTCCATTAAGTAAACATGTATAACAGTTGCACTCTGCAACTGAAATAGCTGCAGTTTTAAAGAGAGCTGTGATTCCATTATCAAGCAGGAGGTGGTGCAGCTGATGTGGCCCTTATGCATTTTTTTTAGTTGCTTTTCAAAGAGAATTAAAATGAATGAAACCATGGGGCATTTTAAATCTTCTACTAACATTTTGAACATAACAGCAAGTATGAATCTCTTACATAACTGCATGTTTTGGCTTTTGAGTGCCTTCAGTAAAAGTTCATTTTCAGATTGATCTGTGGAAAGATTCGAGAAAACAGCAAAGGTCTTTTCCTAGGGCCTGTACCTATAACTTCTCTTTTTCTCTGACTTTGCCTTTTTATCATTTTTGTTCTGAAAATTTTTAGTCATTAATTTATAAGACTCAGTTAACACATGAAATTCTTCTTAAAATAGTTTACTAGAGAAACAGAAGGAAAACTTACTGATTCTAAATCAATCAGAAATATTTGTATAAAATATATATATATTTTAAATAAAACCCAAGTTTTTTATTTATTTTTTGAGAGAGGTTCTTGCTGTCACCAGGGCTGGAGTGCAGTGGCACAATCATAGCTCACTGCAGCAACTCAAATTCCTGGGCTCAAACATCAAACAATTCACCTGTCTCAGCCTCCCTAGTAGCTGGGACTATGGGTGCATACCACCACGCCTGGCTAATTTTTCTATTTTGTAGAGGCAGGGTCTTGCTCTGTTGCCTGGGCTGCAGTGCAGTGCTATTATCACAGCTCACTGCAACTTCCAACTCCTGGCCTCAAGCAATCCTTCCGCCTCAGCCTCCCAAAGTACTAGGATTACAGGCTTGAACCATTGTGCCCAGCCTACTTAACATATTTTTATACAATGAATAGTATAAGTTCTTTCTGGCTATTAAAATAATACTTAAAGGGTATTCTGTTCATGTATGACAGAGCTGTTTCAATCTAATAAGAATATACATGGCAGCAACAAGGAGCTGAAGCCAGTTGTATGTGATTCATAAGTGACAAAGTAAAACTGGCCACATATTTTCTAGTTCTCAGAATGCAGAAAAACTTATTCTCATACACTACAAGTGGAAGTAGAAATTGTCAGACTTTCTGGAGTACAGCTTGACATATAGATACATGTGCAAAATTAAGAAATTTATTGTAGCCTTATTTATGATATTTAAAATTAGAAGCAACCCAAGTTTTTACTAAAAGATTCTTGGTTAGATATGTTACATCTGCATAGAATATTGTACATTAATTTAAAAGGATATTGTAGAAGGATTTCATAACATGACAAGTTCAATTGAAAAAATAGTTTGAAATAGCGTGATTCTGTTTTATCTTTTTAAAAATGATGTACATGTATGCAGAAAAAATAGCAAAGAGGAACAGGGATTATTTCTTTTTGCTCATCTGTCATCTACATATTCTAGATTCTAAATATTGTATAATGAATCCTGATATAATTTTAAAAGTTTTAAGTTTTAGCCAGTGTGGTGGCTCACACCTGTAATTCCAACACTTTGGGGGCCAAGGCAAAAGGAGGATTACTCTAGGCTAGGAGTTAGAGACCAGCTTGAGCAGCCAAGCGAGATCCGTCTCTACAAAAAATATATATATTAGCTAGGCGTGATGGCATGTACCCATAGTCCCAGCTACTTGGGAGGCTGAGGCAGGAGGATCTCTTGAGGAGTTTAAGGTCACAGTGAGCTATAATGACACCATTGTACCCAGGCAATGGAGCGAGACCCTGTCTCAAAAAAAAAACGAAAAAGAAAAAGAAAAAAAAAATTATTTAAGGATTTCATTGGAGTTAATACTCAAACTATCCAAAATGGTATATATTCTAGGTACTACTTATTTAACAGTAATAGTATTTATTTTATAATAGCAGTTATATTCATTGTGTAATCTGTTGTTTTGGAAAAGTATCCTGTAGTGTTTTTTTTCTTTTGCTTGGAAATTTTGTTCAGAAGAGAGTTACTTGATCTGTGTGTGTGGGATACAGCACTGATCAGATGTGTCCATTTCTTGTGAAATGTTGAAGCACCTCCTAGGTTCCTCTTGTACTGTTCTTAGTTCAACGGAGCCAAAGAATTATCCCCTTCCAGTTGGTTGTATTGGTCTTACTAGAATTTCCATATACTCGATGTGCCAAATATATTGAGAATATTTCAAAGTACAGCAGTTATCTTGAATGGTTGAAAAGCTGATTCATTCTGTTCAGTTTAAAAGAAACAATATAAATGATAAGATTATTTATGTAGAAAGCAAAGTAACTCTCTGTAATTTTAATGTTTGTACTTGTTCTTTTGCTAAAAGGAAAGTTAATTTAGTGGTAATTATAGAACCACGGAACTTGATAGACAAGTCTAATTAAACTTTTTCGATTGTTTTCACCTAGGAAGCCTTGGAAGATCGTTTGGAAATGATTAATCGGGAACTGGGTTCCGTTCGCATGACACTAAAGAAATTTCATGTTTTGCGCACCTCTGCAAATCTTTGAGATTTGTAGCCATTAAATTTTGAGACATTTTTGTTTGCACTAATGTATAATTATGCACTCAGAAAAGGCAAACTATTTTGTACTGTTTATAAGCCTTCCAACAGTAGTTTTACAATCACGCTATTCTTACACTTGCTATTTTATACTTCAAATGGCCACATATTTTCAAGATATTTTTGTTATGCTCAGGAATCTCTTGTATATTTTACTATCTAAAAAGTATTATTTTAAAATAGTATATGTCTCCAATTTATATTAAGAATTAAGGAAATTTAAACAGGAGGCAGCTTGTTTCTAAACAAATAGTGTTATCCTTTTAAGATTAACTTTGCACACCAATTTTATAAACTTGTTCTACATTGTAAATATGATTCAATTTTTAAAAATAAAGCTGAACAGCTTCCATAATGCTAGCCCAATACATGCTGAATACAGAAACAGTTACAGCATATCTTGGATTTCAGTTGTGTTGAGGTTTTTAAAAAATAATACAATTCCTGTTTGAAACATATCTTGAAGTAAATATCAGAATAGTAATAATGGATTACTGGAAAGTTCTGAAAACTACATGAATATAACCCATTTTGTTTTCCTTAAACTTTGTAAGGAGAGAAAAAAAATGAGAGGATATAATTCTCTAATTTTGTCTAATATGCAGTATTTTCTGTAAAAGTTAAACAGAGAGCTGTAGCTCTCTGCCCATAATTCTGCATGTAACTTGTGTTGTACCCTGGACAGTAAATGGATAGATAAACCCTGGATCAAGTGTAAGCCACCACCCAGTGAGGGCTTAAGAGAGTAGCCCTGGTTTCCTTAGTGTCCATGTCTTCAGCTGTCAGAATTGTCATCTGGAAGTTTTCACCCCTCTCCAACCTTCTCCACCCCTGCCAAAAAGGAAAATAATTTCCACAGTAGGTGCTGTAAGAACATAGCTTTAGATCAGAGCAGTTTACTCCACGTGTTCATGGACAGGGAATGCATCTGGATAGAACCTGCTGCCTTGGCCTTGCGGAGGGCTCCAGCCCCTTGCCTTCACAGTACCTGCTGGACTCAGAGACAGTGCAAGGACAGCAGGCTCTGCTGTGATGCAGGAGCACAGGAGTTGGGGTTGGTGGTTTAGTGCTGGCTGTTTATCCACCCACTTTTGCTGGCTGGTCAGAACCCGGTGCCCCACATACTCCTGCTGGGCACGTGTTAATAAACAGACTCATCCAAACTTTGAGTTGATTCTCCCTGAACATGCTCAGGTTTTACATTTTGGTTTGCTTTTGAGCTTTTTCTCCTGATGTGGCTCTTACTATGTAGTTACAATGAACCAAGCCATCCCAGCTTTTCTATTAGTGTGCATGTATGCCTTCAAGCAGGATCTCAAATGAGCTTTGGGCATCCTTCACCCAACCTCACCTGGCTGGTCAGCAGGCCTGGGGTCCACAGTCCTACTCCCCTCTCAGCAAAGAGGGGACCTGCCTGACAGTACCCATTGAACCTCTGCTCCCAACTTCTTAGTTGAAGACTTCAGGCTAATCAAAATTATTTACCAACAGAATCAAGTGCCTTTATTCTTGATTTTTTTTTTTTTTTTTTTTTTTGAGACAGCTTTTTGCTCTGTATCCCAGGCTGGAGTGCAGTGACATGATCACAGCTCACTGTAGCCTCCAATTCCTGGGCTCAATTGATCCTTCTGCCTCAGCCTCTTGAGTAGCTAAGACTACAGGCTCTCACCACCACGCCAGCTAATTTTTTTTTATTTTTGTAGAGACAGGATCTTGCTATGTTGCCCAGGCTGGCCTCAAACTCCTGGCCTCGAGCAATCCTCCCACCTTGGCCTCCTAAAGTGTTGGAATTACAGGCACAAACCACAACGCCTTGCTATTCTTGACTTTTTTTTGCCTTTAAAAAAAACTTAAAAATTCATTTTAATCAAGCTCCAGTACAGCTGGTGTCAAGACCTACTAAGGGGATTGATAGTAGTGATATTATCACTTATACTGGTGATATTCCTTTAATATGTTCCTAGATATGACATTAAAAACTAACTTGAAAGTGGTTAGGATGTTTCCTTGTTCCCTATTACTGTCCTATGCTATAGTCTACTACGTTTTCAAGAAGAAAGAAATTGCCATTTCAGAAGAGATGATAGTTTTATCTTGCCAATGAATTATCTTCTTAGTAGCCTATATTGGCTTATTCCAAAAAAAAGATGTTAAGTTCCATCAAAACATCTTCTGCGCCTTTCTTTTAGTAAGCATATGCTTTGATATTTGAAGTGTGTCATAGATTGGAACTATCAGTCACTTATTTAAAAAAAATATTTTAGATTTTTTCTTCATAGCTGTGAAGAGGGAAACCAAGGAAACTCTTTCAGCTGTCTTTCCCTTTAAGGGTAATGCTTATCTTATGAACAATCAACTGAAACACAACCTAAAAGTAGGAAAGGTAGAAATCTTAAATAGCATCTGTTATCCCAGGGAGTTAAACTATTTTTATTGTTGGTTGCAGCTGTGTTGCAGTTAGTACAAAAACCTAAGTGAATCTTCCACTTCTGGGAAGTGCCTTTTTAAATACAAGTAGAAAGTGAACTTTCTCCTGATGCCCAGATCTGCCCCCCTCCATTCTCTCTCAAAGCCTGTGTTTGCAGGAGCAACTCCTGAGATGTGGAAAAGGCCCTTTCCAACCGCAGCCACAGCAGATGTGGGCACAGCATGGGCGGCACTAGGGCTGTGCACAGCTGGGCAGGGGATGGGAGGAGGGACTTGGAGCCAGTCAGACCTGGGTCATGTCCTGTAAATGATAAGATGAAATGATAAGAAAACTTTCATTAAGGGAGATTAAAGTGCCTGGTGCTTAGTAAGTGCTCAATAAATAGTGCATTTCACATTCATTCTGAGTTAAGTAGGCTTTCGAGGTAGCATACTTTTTAAAATAGAAAAGTAGATTGTGTCCCAAGCAACTGACCTAAATACTGCCTTGGGTTGATGTTTCTATTAGGTGGTCTAAGATGTTCTTTCCACCCTTTGCAAAAAATATGAGCTTTCTTGGTGTTTAAATGCGTGTCCCTCTTGGACTTTTTTAAATGACTGAAAATAAAATTGATAGCCTATTGAGTATAAATTCAGAGGGCACTTTGATTTTAATAAAATTGGTGATTTGGAGGTTGAGTAATAGGCTATTTTCCCAAAAGTTATTGCTGGTATGATCAAAATAATTGCTCCTTCAAATGTTCCATGAGTAGACATCGAAAGGTGATGGCCTGAGAAACCATGTGAAAGAAGTGCCTGCTACTGGGTGTGAAATGTATGTGAAGACTGTGATTCAGAGTTTGCTAACCAGCCAGAGAGTGTTACCCTTTTCAACCCAGGAAAGCCAGGTGCTTTGCTGAATGCTGTTTGAATTCTGAACCTTGTACCTGTATATGTTGTAAAATTAGACACTTCTGTCACTTTAATTTTTAGCTGTCTCAAAAGTTTTCACTAAATATTAACGTGCCATTTGTGCTGTGAGTCTTTAAGAAGCTTTAAAAAATGCACACCCGGAGCCTTTTAGGAATCATAAAGGTAAATCATATTTACCTGTTGTGAGTGACCATGTATGGTTATGAGATTTACAGGTCTGAGTAAACCGAGCATATTGCACAAATTTTGCTGGAAATAATTTCTTGCCCTGCTAAGAGCTCTGTGGCAGTTTGAAAATAAACTACACTGGTATTTTTAGGACCCGTATTACTAAGCCTTTTCTGTCCAATTTGTGCTTTATTTCAACAGACCCCTCAGATATGAGGAATCAAGCCATAAATGTACATTTGCTGGACATTATATACCACATCATTATGACTACAGATTTCAGAGATGATTTTACTCCCATTTAACGATTTCACTGTAACAGTGACCAGTAATGTGAAAAATTGCTTCATGTAGTGCTGCTGGTGGTTAGACAAAAGACAAGTGCTTGTTGCAGTTGTTTTTTAATCTAGTCAGATACTGGAGTGATGAAATTGTAAGCTCCATGAGAGCAGGGACCATATTTTTCTTGCATATAGGCGCTCAATAAACATTTGTGGCTATGAACTGTCCTGCGGTTTTAATGTATTTATTCATGCTGGCTAGCTGTGAGATCTAGTTTTTAGTGGTGTTGACTCCCACGTATTATAAGTCCTTGGAGTTATGTGTACAGGGGACACTCATTGCAGGGTTACAGTGATACCCTGGAGCGCCATCCAGGTGCTCTGTTCCTACTGGCTTGGAGGGCCTCACTCTGGGTATCTGTATGGAGCTCAGGGCACCTCTTGGAGGGAAGGAGCTGAGGGATCAGTATGTGATGGGCACCTTCACTTGCCTCTTGGTGTGGTCATCGTAAGACCGGCAGTGAGGCAAGTCATGTAATGATGGCTTTCCTGGCCCATTCAGTCTCCAGTTCTGACAGTATCTTAAGGAGGCGAACAGGCTTTTGTGGTTTTGCCCTCCCTGGCTTCATCTGAAGTCATCTTGGGCCGTTTTAACTTGAGCGTGCCCTGGTCCTTCCCGGAGAAGCACCCATGTCTCCTCCACCATATATAAGGGGATACTCAGTGATGGGTTGACTATCGCTAGGTTTTAGGTGTGCCCTGTTTAGTGCCATGGCTTCAGATGTTTGCAAACAAGTCCATCCTTGCTCAAACTAAATAAAACGCTTGACGTTTTCTTTGAAATTTCACCAAGTACTCTCTTGGTCTTTTAACTTTCCAATTGGTGAGTCCTATCACGATGGAACATCAAGGTGGAGCAATTTCTGAACCTCCAGTACTCTTGAGGTCTGACTAGAGCTTCCTGCATACCTGCTGTTGTTACTACTGCCGCTCCTGCTGACCAACGAGCATTTTCATTCTCAGCCCACAGCATATGTGGTGTCCCGAGGAAAGAACTCCTTGATGCCTATTTCTCTAAATCCCTCGTCCGTGGCTGGGCTTCAGTTAACTGCCTTTGGCTCGGCCGCAATATTCCACACGCCTTACTGCAGTCTGTTCCCCTGGAATCATTTTACTCCTAAGAAACTAAATTTGTGAGAAATGGAGCTATTTAAGAGCCACAGTTACCGCAAGTCTACTCGTTGCAAGTGCACTCGGCTCCTCTGGGAGATTCACCGGCGTGCTCACAAACAGGCCGAGGGCGCGGGGGCCAGGAGGTCCCGGCGGGACCCGCGCGGCGGCGCCCCCTCCCGCCCGGGGTCGGGCCCGGGCCTGAGGACTCGCGGGCGCCCGCACGGCAGCCCCGCAGCGCCGGCGCGGAGGCGAGGCGGCCGCCGGGCGGCCGAGTCGGAGAGGTTTCTTCCGGCGGAGGCGGCGCGCCGGCGGCTCGGCAGGGACGCGCCCGCCGCGCCGTCCCCCGCGCGGCCTGAGGAGGCGCCGCCGCCGCACTGAGGAATGCGAGGCGGCC